TTTCAATGTAAAAGTGAAGTCATAAGAAGTTATAGATTAAATCTGTGAAGAAAAAAAGTTAAAAAATTTAACTTTTCTTTCCGTCTCATACATCAACGAATGACTCATATCTGATACATACTCGCCACTCACTCATTTTGTTTTGCAGTCGCTTGCATTTATAAACTACAAGCTTGTCGATCATTGTATAACTCTGATTCCTCATCATAAACGCATAAATCTTTCGCCTTTTACTAAAGATTTCCGTGGTGAGGAATAATACAATGAGTCTTAATGACAAATTTTTCTCTGCTCGCTACAAGCGGGCTTCTAAAAATAAAATATGAAATAAATCTCTTAACTATTTAGCAACAGTCTTGTAGTTTTATGACAAAAACAACACACAATTTCATTTTTGGTTTGAATGCGCTCGCTCAAACCTGTGTATCCGATATTATTGGATAAAATTTCTCAGATTAGCCCCGTGTCGGAAAAATATCATTTTTCTCATCAGAAACTATATCAAAATGGTGTGGATTTTTTATTATGAAGTTTTGTTCAACGATGTCCCACGTAGTACTAATGTACTAACTAGAAAGTTTTATCTGTTGATAACGGCTAACTGGAAATGGCTCTTCGATCACAGTATAGTATGGTAAAGTTGAAGTGACGATTTCTTTAACATAGACATTATACATAATCAGTCTTTTTGAGTTAGTGTGACTATTTTTTTTTTTTATACAGTTTTTTTGTAAACATATATTATATTTTCTTGTTAATTTTAATTTGAAAGAGAGATTTTTTGCTATTTTCATTCTCTTGATTGAGTATTCTTATTTTCTCCAAAAAAAATTATTTTTTTACATAGAAATTCAGTCAAATACTCATTTTTATGATACGTTTTATCTCCATTTTTGTTAGTGACACTTCTCACTCTTTTAGGGAATTGTTTATTCTTGTATGAGGTGTCTATAGTGGATATATAATACTGAGTTATGTTTAAAAACTACATTGAATGAATAATTTTAAATTCATTTTTTGGTATCTATTTGTATTAATTTTGCTACTTTTCACATTAAATGTTTGCAAAGTTATTCTATGCTCTTTTATATTTATTTGTTTACAATAAATCTGAATTTTAAGTTAAAGAAAATATTACTAACAGATTCTTTGGTGAAAAATAAATACAAGAAGTCTTAACGACGAATTTTTTTCTGTTAGTGACAAACGGGCTTCTGAAAAGCAAACATGAAATCAAAAAATGATCAAATTTTAACTAAACAGATTAATCAACCTGGTGTTTTACAAAGCAGATATGTTGATTACTGATGGTAGAATCGATCGATTATGAAGAGTATCCTTTCCTCATTTTAGGGCTTTCCGTAGAAATATTGTCAAGCATAAACTAAAAATGACAAAGTCTACTCCATTCCAGGACTAATTAAAAACTCAATGAAACATCGTTTCATTTTCGTTGCAACTCTTTAGTTATCAAAGTTTTTGAGTTTTCTAGAAAGTTTGATTTTCGATATCATTCCAGTACGACTTGATCCAATCGACTTCAAAATTCTATCATAAATAACGGGTGGTGCAATAGTCTTACATTAAACGTCGAATATTTATTTCTACATATTGCCAATGTACTGAAGAGTTTATTATTTTTTTGTTGCAAAAAGCAAAAGAAGCAAAAAAAAAAACATAAAAAAAACAAAATTTTTTGCGAATCTGTTTTGATCCACTTTTTGATCGAAACTTTGTAAGTTTTTTTCATTAGTTTCAAAATAACAGATAATTAGACTTAATTAATACTTTTCAGGTATTGAACGAATTTCATCCTTTTTCTAAAACACATTTTTTAGAATAACATCAAACTGACATTAGTTTTAATCTTTACTAGCATATTTAGAGCTCTGAATAACGAATTTTTCTCAATATCCCGTCTTTCCCATACAAAAGTAGGGCTTTCTACTAAAACTAAGACTTATAGTGCGCTTTATTTACTATTTAAGAATTATTGAGAAACTTTTTAAAGTAGAGAAGTTGATAGACCTGTGCACGGGCTACATTCTCACCTATTTCGTTTTCAAAAAAAGCTTTTTCTTCAGGTTCTAATAAACCATAAAGAAAAAAAGTACGTGGCAAAAGTCTTTTTTGGTGATATTTGATATCGAACATTTTTTATTGTTAATGATTACTTAATTTATCTGTATTTATTTTCTATCATCTTTCCTTTCCCAATTAGAGCAAAAACACTAAAAAATAGCTTAAAATCCAGGTTTTTCAATCTTAAAATTCTTATAGCTCGAAAAAAAAGACGATAGAACGAAATAAAAAGCTGCAGCAAGACAATGTTATCTAGTATTTATGATAAAGTTTTGACGTTGACTCGATCAAATTATCGAGGACTCGTAATGTGACTGGATTGAAGAGACTGTTGAAAAAATACACAGTAAGAAAAACACATTTTGTATATAGGTCGTTTTCTTCATGGCATTTGTGACGACGGCGTATAGATCTTCACGAAAAATCATTGTAAAAATTTTTGAAAAACATCTCATTGTAAAGAGAATACTTTCTTCAATTAGACTAAGTACAAGAAAAAAATTTTAAATGTACAGAAAAAATAAGGAAAAAAAAATTGAGTTTTTTTCTGGGTTTGAAGGAAAAATTTTAAAAAATTCATAGCATTTTCCAGGAAGATTGTGGAATGTTGAGAGTGGTCTCATTTTGTAGATCAGACTTTTCTCTACATCAGAACATGTTCAATTCAAAAATTCAAACTTTTTTCAAAATAACTTTAACACATTTAGAATATAAAGAATGCTAGATAAGAATTACAGAAGAACACTTTTAGATAATTAAATGTTTACTTAGAGAAAAAAAGAAAATGAATAACATATGTCAGTTTCATTTTCAAAGTAAGTAAGAATATAATTGTTAATAAAATTTCTAATTCATCTAATGGCTTATTACAATAATTGCTTGTTTCAGAATAGAAAGTAATTCTTTTCTGAAAAACGTTATCTCGTTCAAAAGAACATAAATGACCTACTGGTCCATTTCAGAATTTCAATCTTACAGTGTTTTTGTAAACATTCAATTTTAAAGATGAAAGATTTTTTATGTTTTACGTTATTTGCCTATCTTTAAAATAATATATTGTGTCACAAAAAAGCGTGTAAAAAAAAAGAAAACTTTTTTTCTATATCGATAAATTACGGAAAAAGTATGTTTCAATAGTAGTATGTTTTTACACAATGGGAAGAATCGTCTATATTTTCAATCTTCTTTAATTTTGAAACAAAATATAAATAACTTTTTTGTTTGTCTTGTACATACTGTTTTCTAGACAAAAAAATGGCATTTCAGACGAACTATAATTATCGAGTTTTTTCTTGTGCTTCAAGTTTTTTTTCATCTTATTGTATGTAAACCGTCTATCTTTTGTTTTTTTCGTTTACGTATACATTGATGACATCTAAAAATTCAAAATCTGGACACCTCCGCGCAGTTTCGCCCAGATACGTATGCCCATTGAGCCGTGAAATTTTAACCATATGCAGTTTGTATTTCTATAGAGAGATATGAAATCGTCTCAAAACAGATTCTGTAGCAGTTAAGAGCTTGGACCATTTACTTAGTCAATTTTTATTTGCCCATTTTTGTCCGAAACGTAAATATTGCTTTTTTTTGTGGATTCTGTATATTAGACGAAAGCACAATCTTTTGTATTACTCACGGGTTGTAACGATATTTGTGTCAAAATGACAGAGTAGGATAAATATTCTACTTATTTACCTTCTCTTGAAGTAAAACCTTAACTCTTGAATGAAATTGAGACTGAAGAAATGCCTTTTCTCTCTCAAGACGTCGAAAATGCTGTAAATAATTGTCTATTAAACCTAAGCATCCAATGTTTGTTAAACAGACATTTTTTAACTGTTTTTACACACTTAAAATGCGAACATTCATTCTAATGGCTAAAAATGACAATTTTATTATAATAAAAAAACTGACCTTCTATTATATTCATTTTGAAGACATTAAGGTAAAAAATTTACTGCTTAGAAGAGTTATACATTTTACTCCCATTGCAGGGCTACGCTGTCAAACTTTTCTTCTGCTATTTTACTTATTCCAAAATGGCATGCTAACAGACAATTAACAACCATTGTGAGTTTTAAGTATATACAGTTAAATATCTGTTTTTGGACCGTAATTTATGATGAAATAAAGAGTAAAAAACGGTAACTGTTATCGGGCTGCTTTTTTTAAACAGTTTTCAGGCGATTAAAAGTTAATTTTTTTGTTATACAGCTAACAGGCCATGCGTGAGTTATTAAATGTCCGTTTTCGCTGACGTAGGTTTGTATCACTAAAACTTTCGTCTCTAATGTATGCGCGTGTACGTAAGAACAAGTATCTTATGAAAATTATCTAAGTTTTTTAAAATTTATCTATTTTTTAAGATTCTATAGCAAGTGAACGAAGAATTTTCAAAAGTTGTAGAATAATTGAATTTCATCTTCAACACGATCTGAATCGATGTGTTTTGAAATGGTGAAATTCCGATTAATAGATGTTGAGAACAGCGCGTGAGAAAAAAGATTGGGTACGAATGCTTTTTTGATCTAAGTACGCGCCCAATTACAAGAATACACTAGCTCACATTGATCCACATTAATTAAGACCAGTTCAGAGGTCTTTTGAACAAATAAGTAGAATAGTGATGAATTTTATTATTAAAATAGCGAAAAACTATTGACTTAATTTAATTAAACCCCGTTAATTTAATGTCATCTTGATTTTCTACATGCGAGTAGCTATAATTTTTTTTTGTCGTTTAGGTGAGTGTACAACACTCCAAAACGTAATAGAAACAATTATTTACCGTGTTTATGTATATTATATTTTTTTTGCCTTTAGACACTTTCTACCTGTACTCCTGTAATAGGACATGTACGTAGAAATCATCCTAAATACAATGTACTGACTGTTGTATATCATAAAATTATTATTCTATGACGAATTTGACTGGTATGTATAGTTTATCTCACTACTTTAATTTTTGTCATTGTTTTTATTTTTTGAGGTCTGGTAGATCCAGTATCTATTTTATTAAATATTCCAAATGTTTTAGCCTATATTCGTATTCTTTTATTATACGTATCAATAAAATATTTCAGGTTAATCATCGTCTTGATATAACTTGATTTCTAATTCAATTAAAATTCATTTTTTTATTTTTCTAGTTGTAAAAGATATAGTCGATTTTTGCTCATTTATTTCATCAGTGGTTTATGTGATCTAGCTGATGGTGAATTAGCTCGATTATTTCATCAAACTTCCATTGTTGGAGGTGTATTTGAAATTTTTCTAGATCAATTTTCTCATCTTATTTTATATGTATGTACTGCTTGTTTGTATAGAAATTATATGGTCTATTTTTTATTTGAAATTGGTATTGAAATAATGAATGATATTGTCAATTTTCATGTAAAAACATTAAATATTAAATCAATTGAGGAACAATGGAATTCATCGAAAACCATATGGTTACACCAACAAAATTTTATTGATCAAAGTTTTTTATATAAATATATCGTTTATGGTACAGATATATTCCATTTTACATTGATTATTTATTATATTATTAATAAAGACCAACAATATAATTTTAAAGAAATTGATTATAAACAAATGATACCATCATTTATTTTGCAAATAGTACCATTGAAGATAATTGAACGTATAATATATTATACAATTTGGTTAACTCTATTTTCGTCTATACAAAGATCATTAATTAAAATATTTCATATACTACATACATTAGAAAATATTGCAAAATTTCAAAACTTTTTAAAATAATAATTGTTAAATCTAACATATAGTCTAGAAACATCATGAATTTAGTAATGAAAAATTATCAGGTAGAAAAGAAGAATTGTCTATACTAAGCTTAAAAAAATAAGTCAGTTATGATATTTAGTAATGTTTAGTATACACAAAAATTGTTTTTACCTTGATAACGATGATAATAAGGTTAGTTAAAACCAAAAGTACATAATCTCATCAACCTATTGGCATTTGATAATAATGTCTCAAATATGCTGCTTTTATATCCATTGTTGTTTTTGTACACTGTGTAATATAGTCGATGATGTTGGCCTCAAAGATTCATGGGGGACCCATTTTTCAGAACCCGTATCGCTCAGTTCGATCCCTTTAGAAATCGTCCCCGTTCCGTCCAATGAAAAAGAAAATTTTGTACTCTGCAAGGACTCCATAGCGTCACTTTAGAAATGTTTTCTATAACAGTTTTTTTTGCCTCTTCAATGTCAATACCTGGCCTCTCGTTGCAATTTTTTGAAAAAAGAGGAATGAAAGAGGCTTTGTGATTTTTTTTAAAGAGGATTTGAAGTAAAAAAAGAGGAATGAATTTTTCAGCCCGAAAAACGCTGTGACAAATCATTTTGGATCAAAACCCAACTTATCGAACATCACATATCTGTATGAAATTCCCGTTCTGCTGAAAAATTGAAGTTTTTCGCCAAAGATCGTATAAATCAAGTCTGAAATAATAAATCAGAAAGAAATCAGTGCTAAAATACAGTTGTTCCTGAACAAAACAGGATGTATACACCTTTGAATCAGCGACTAAGGGTTTCTGAAAAATCTATTAACCAAAATATTCTTTTAGATTTTTTCCAGATATGGGCAAGTCAAGCTACTTTCCGAGTCCGAGTCATTTCATAGGGGCTTCGAGTCGAGCCACCAGTGTTTTCGAGTCAAGATATTTTTGCCATTTTTTTCTGTATATATGTAACTAGCTGAAGTACCCGGCGTTGCCCGGGAAAATTCAATTTTGCACACTTAACATATTGGGAAACGACGATCTCGTATAAGTTATCGATCTTGAATGTTCCAAAACACACTCGGATTACCTGTCCCTTTTCAACTTTTTTTGCTTTTTTCGCATTTTAAAGTTTTTTAAATATTTTTATTCTTTCAATATGTTTTTTTTGTTTTATGGGCTTCTTTCATTTAAGAGAGACTGTATGAGAGACTCTTGAACACGCTACATAAAGTTGACCGTGAGAAAAGCAAGAAGTCTCTAGGTTAATATCAACAACCTTGAGTGATTGTCCGCCAGCTTGTTGCCAGCTTTCTTGATAGACATCGCAACGGCAAGACACACTGGAAACTGCAAAGGCTTGAATTCAAAGGAACGTGTCAGTAGGAATGATAGGTATTCGCGGTATGAATACATCCTCACCCTTTGCGCAGCCTGTCAAGATTGTTGCTTCAATAACATGAGGCATCAGACTTTTCACACATAGTCTTGTGCCATTGCGTAGTCTTGGTGCATCCAGGTTTCTCAAGAGCATAATGGGAGAATCAAGTTTGAGTACCAAGTTATGTGGAGGCTCGAGAGAGTTAAGAAATTCAGGGGGATACTAAGATGAGAAACACTATAGTGAATATAGTTCTGACACAGAAGAACAATAGAAAAACCGGCCTATATATGTATAGAATATCGTGAAACATTCCGAAAGTGTCATCGGATAGTATGATGTGAAAATTCCAACGACGATATATGACGCATCAGAAAGAATGTGATACATCATTTGGATGGGACACTTACTGTAGCGTTCCAACAACAGGGCTACTAAGTACCTCGCAGGTAAAAATTTTGAATCGAAAATTGCTCTTTACCCGGGAGGGGTGCGCAAAGAGGTAAAAGCAGGGGGAGGATACTCCAAAAATCGGAGAAAATTCCCATAATTTTTGAAAAATCAGAGAAAATTTGCTTCGGTTTTTGGGAAACCGGGCGGGGGAATCTCATCCACTCCTCCCTCCGACCCCGTCTTGACCTTCTCCTCGACGAAAGAGTATGCCATGGAAACTTTGGTTGCACTGGCTCTTACAGGGACCAAATGCATAAAGAACAAACAAACATACAAATAAACAAACTTTCTTCTTTATATATATAGATAGTGCCGACGAAGAACACGACAGCAATAATCAGTCGTTGTCTCTTTAGCACTTTGTCTCCGTCTTGTTTTTCGTCAGCACTATTACATATATTTATACTCTAATTAATTATATGTTCTTCACATTTAGTCTACTTTTGTCAGACGAAGGCGTGTTTGACGTTGAAACGTAATAATAAAAATAAAACAAGAAAGAGTATTCAGAAATACCCAAACTTATACAAAAGGAAATGTATGCAAAGCAGTTAGCGAACAGAATTTTTTTCGAATGAATGACTCGAGTCAAATAGTTGAGTCAACGTCTTCCAGTTTTCGAGTCCGAGTCATTAAAAAATGCTACACGAGTCGACTCGCTTTACTCTCATTTTAGAGAGGACACCCCAAGCTGTCAGCCCATGAAAAAATCAATATGATGCTATTGGAAAATCTTTACAGATGGCCTAGTTTTCCAAAGATCTTCTAGAAAACCTATTTCAGAAAACTCTTCTGAAAACAATTTTGGTTATGAAAACATGTCTCAAAGTCTCCTCTTTCGAATGGCAAAAACCGCAGGTTCAAAAAATGGTCTCACGCATGGCTTTTTTTAATGGGCAATACTTATCTACCCAGGTAAATGATTCACGACCGTATACTATAGTATTTCGTCGTATTTTGACGTAAACCAGGTCAACGTAGTATGTCCATCGTAAACGACGTCGTTTACGTTCAAATACGACGATCGTAACAGCTGACGTAATATGTTGGCCGAGTTTACGACGAAATACTGCAGTATACATCAAATTACGTGGTCTTAATCTGACGTATAGGACGGTCGTAATCATGGACCTGGGCACAGTGAAATAAGTTCAGTTTATAACATAGAAAATCTCCAAAAAAGTTATCTCTCTATAATGTGTTCCTTCAAGGTATTCTATTTGTTTTTTTCAGCTATGTGTTAATTTTTTTCCAGAACGGACGACAATAATAGCATTTACTGTTTCTCGGTTTAGATTAGATCGCCGATGAGTAATGATCATACCCACAGTCGAATAAAAAAGTAGTTCTGCGGAGGTACCGTTTTACAGTGGGTATCCAGGCGGACTTAAGTAAAAAATCGCAAATGCGCTTTTTCTAGATTATACCTTTGAGTATGCTCTATTTAATGGTATAAAAATTTTTCTTCTTAAGTGCCTAAAAATGGTAGTTGCTAATTTTAATAAATGTGTTAATTTTAAGTGCCAAAAAATGAGCCTAAAAACATTTTTTTATAAAAATAAAGTCACGATTTCGAAAATTTTCATTTTCATTTTCAAGACAATAGAAACATTTAACGCGATGTAAAGTTTAAAACGAATATTCGTTTCTTTACATCTTTTAATTTTTATTAAATAAATATGAAAACTAAAAGCAGCTGCTTGTTACTATTTTATCAATTTTAAAATTTCTACCTTTGAATATAAGTATAATGTTTCAATGTGATGAGATAGCACAAGTTGAATCTGGATCAAAACTAGATTAAAATCTTCGTCTAGATGTAGTGCATCGATAGTGCATGTTCAACCGTTTCTATACTGTGCTATAGTTTTTCAGGTAAAATCCAGGTTTTGGTACAAGAGCGTATGTACACAACACTAGCGGCATATTCAGAATCAGGGCGTCGAGTTATATCAAATCATGCATAATACAATAAGTTTTGAATCAAATTTCCCGTGAACGGGCAAGACCGATTTTTCAAAATAAAAATTATTTTTTCTGAAAACATTTATTTTTTCTTGAAGAGCATCAGGGATAACTAAGCAATGATAATTATTAATGAAAAAATGATTCAGAAGCAAAAAATTCTAATATCTACCTTCTATTAGAAAAATGCCCATTGTGTGCTTCGCGCTGGTTTTAACCGCGAGAAAGCTCGCTTCGCCGGTTTGGAACATATCTCCTCCCCGCCCATCAGCCAAAGATTTTTTTCCGGGGGCTCGATTGGAATGCGTCCGTCGAAATCTCCCGCAGTTTTCTCGTTCTTGTGCATCTGGTTGATCCATTTTAACGAGTGTTATCAATGATATCAGAAATAATGCTTGATCATCGTTATACACTGAATCTGTTATCATCAATCGAGCTCGTCTCAACACAATTTTTACAAGTTTATTATGGATATGATGATAGGTAATTTATTCAGTTGAATAATCACGTGAAGATATATGACCGGATGCGAGCTGCTTTAATGCTAATTTAATATAGCGATTTCGTGCCGATAAAGTGTCTAGAGGCAGTCGCACAACTACCAGCAGTTTCAAAGCAGGTTCTAAACTTCACTAGAATATACGTACACCTAACAGAAGAATTTCATTTGTATAAAATGAGAGATAAGAAAGAATAGGATCTTCACGTCACATAGTGGCAGATTCAAACGCGAAACATTTTCGTAAACATCTTTCTTTCTGTGAAAAAATACATATAAGTTTGTATAAATCATGCAGCAATATAAGTTTTAAAAAGTTGATACGAAAATAGAAAAAGGAACATACACACATTTCATACACCAAAGAACAACAGTAGAAACCGAGCTGTATATAAATATATATACAAATACTGTTAAAAAAAACCTAATATATTGTTCCCCGAACAGCACATTTCATTTCTCTTGTACGCATTTTTCGTCGAACATTTCTGATTCGTGCCGATAACCGACTTGTTATTAGACCATGCGGATTTATCGTATCATCACATGCTAAACAAGGATATTCATTGATTAAAGCAATGCCAATTTTTTTATATTCAACACCATGTGTCAATTGCGGATAAACATTCATATAAAAATCAGCTGCTTCACGAATCAATTCATTCATTATTGGATCAGGATTTCCTTGAAGGACAGAAAACATGCGCAAAGTTGAACAAAGAAATGTAATTTTTTTTATTAACTAAAACTTTTACTTACCAATCATAAGATTATGTTTAACTTTATCACTGAATGTTGGTAAAAGTGGTGGCACTGGAATTCGACAAAGACCAAAACCCTGTTGTAAAAAACGAGACAAATGTGATCAGGATACGATGTATATCTGATTTATTTGCTATAGAAAAACTAAATCGATCTCATGAACTTTGAAACAGCTTTCAACATACCTCATCTGACGGCAGTATTTGTTGTGATCGTGGATTTTCGTCTTCATCTTCTTCATATTCATTATAGTCATCGTCAATTTCTTGTTCATAATCATTATTTCGTACTGTTACTGGAGATACTGTTCGTATTCGTGTCCGTGATATTAATGACTGATTTGTTTTGATTGTATTAGATGGAGTTTGTAACACTTTTGTAACAGTTGTTTTTTTTGCAACACGTCGTCGGACAGGTTTGATAGTTGGAACAATTACAATCTCTTCCTAACGTATAAGTAAAAACAAAAGAATATATATTGTATAGTGAACGCGATACTTGTCATGTACATGGTCAACATTGTTCGGAGATAATCGAGGGGCTTTGTAAAGACGATTTTCTTCCTAACATAAAGATGAAACTTTTCCCAAGTTAAGTGTAATTATTTCATACCTAACTTACAGAAGGACTTCTTTCACGAATATTTGATCGATGTGAATAAGTATCATTTCCATCCTAAAATAAACAAAAATCAAGGCTTTTTTTAATCAGTCTTGCCTTCATACTTACATCATCCGATAATCTATACGAACCACTTTCATTTAAGGGTTCGAAAGAACTTGATGAAGCCATAATGAATTTGTTTCCAGATTCTAACGAAATCTTTTCATCTACAGTCATAAAAGTTGAACACATTAGAGACTATTTAATACTAAATATTGTTTCGCAAAACTTGGCAAGCGTCAGAAACATCTGTGTTCAGGCAAATATGCACCCGACGAAAGAGAAATTTGACCTACGAAAGGAGCTCCCTGAGTGATAAATCGCCTCTTTTTTTCTTGCAATTCTATTCTTCTGGAATTTGTCCTTCGCCAGTCCAATCCTGACCTCAGTTTTCTGATAGAACATTGGTTTTCTATAACGTGTCGACAATTCAACAACAGTTTTTTTGACATGATTGGATAGGGCTTATTGAGTTCCTTAGAAATGTGACAGCTTTTATTTTTTAAGTTAGTTTTTTGCTCTAGAAATTTGAAAATTAGATGAAATTAAGTAAAGGTTCTATAAGCAAGCCATATCTGCAGCATTATCGCCTTTTTATCTCCTAAGCTGTTTTATTCTGATTCACCAAATTGAACCGAATATTAAAAAGTAAATTTGACCTAAAATGATCAATGAACTTATCAAAGATAAGTAGAGCCACTCAGTTATCCCCGCGTACATCTACATATCTGCGTTTTAACAAACATATCCTCTAACTTCTAATGACAAAATATGCGCGGCGCAGCAAAGTGTACATACACTTTGAAATTCAAATGAATTACTTTGTTTTTACTAAACTGTTGGGTGATTTAGAGAAAGTGATACTTATCTTGTGACTGAAGGCTTATTTTTATGCGTGATAATAAAAACAAAAGGAAGATAGACAGAAAGTGGCATTTCGCGAATTTTAAAAAATTCTTTACGACTCATTTGTTCATAACACACGATATAGTGTTGATATCTACGATGAGAAAGAATGAGAGAGACACATTTAGGGAATAAGTAAGAAGATTAAATGGATAGAACGAAGAAAGAAAGAATCGTTTTTTTCATCCGTCTTCCAGATAAACAACTGTATGAGTAAAAAAAATACATCAATCAGCCAAATATTTGAAACTTTCGATCGATTTCTGACTAAACTGACAGCGATAACACCTCTCTCCGCTTCTGAGCGAGAAGAGTAGTTAGACGAAGAGTTGCGAGTGAGAGTAGTTCAACTATCACTTTCTATACTATCACTGTTTCTGTTTAATGAAAAAAATAATGAAAAGCTGTCAACAACTGCATTGAAACATTCTCCACTAAAGCGTTCTACTCATTGTTACTCTCTGTGAAAAAAAATGAAGTAAATACGTGTAGCACCACGATTTAAAAGTCAGAGAATACATATGGAATTAGCAACGCAGAGCCTATATGGTTTTTAACTACAAGATAAAACGAGTTTTCCGCGTAATAGTCTCGGATAATTAGTTTCTTTGGATAATTTTCAAGTTTGAGCGAAAATCTTGCTTGCGATGGAAAAGTTGAAACAATAGAAGGATAGAATTGTGAGGCATTTTTACATAATGTAAAACGACTTTAAAAAATAAAACCTGCCACATTTCTAATGATAACTCAAGGTTAAGATAAGTTAGATGGGAGCGGTAGATGGGAGCGGTCCTCGCTCTTATCCTCGAAGGTGATTGGTTGAGTGCTCGAAAGGAATAGATGAATCATTCCTTCATGTTTCTTTTATACAATCCTTGATAAAGGCAGAAGGTGAAGTTTCATTGATCGAAAATATTAACTTGTAAAGTTTTTTTCTTTACGCTTCACAGTTAATATACTATATAACGTAATGGCAGAATCTTTTTCCTCTAGGACATTGTCGGAAGTAATCTGCAGATATAACTTTAGCATTGGATAACAGCTAGCTGCCAGGAGAAAAAATGTCGAGTAGGATTCAAAATGGCTGCCGACGAATATGAAAACTGCATGTGCTAATGTCCCGGTAGTTAGGGTGTTTTTTTCGATGAAAACTACCCGCATTTCAGATTTTTAAAGAAAGTTTCTTAAAAAATCTGAAATTTCACGAAATTGCAATTTGAAACAGATTATTTCGTCCTCAAAGCTAATATAATAATTAATAAAGTAATCACACTCAGCTTCAGTGATGTAAAACGTCTATATTCTACAGCAACAACAACTAAGGTCTGTACGAGCAGATGGGCCAAATGGAAGCTTTCAAATTGGGAGAAAATTTGGGGATAAAACGAAAGAATTCTGACCTTTACTAGTCCTTTGCTAAACACAATGCAGAAATATCAACGGAAACTCGCTGAAAAATACTTCTCAAATGAGAGATTTCCCGTCGATCTGAAAAAACTAACAAATCTGTGACGTACCGAACCGGACAAAGACATTCAGAAAACAAATAATGTGAAGTTCGCGAAACTAAGTATTCAGATCCGTGATCCTTATATGGAGGTAAAAGCATGCGCAAAGTCTCAAATAATCAATCTATAAACGCAGAGGAAGCTCTAAAACCACAAGCTGTGCGAAGTATCACTCTAAGCCTGGTGTTCAGCTTCGGTAAATGGCTTATGACAGCTCTCAAAAGCTTCGCTTTTCGGCGTGAATCTTCGACGACAAATAAAAAAGCTTAAACAACATCTCTTTTGCACAGAAGTATGCGTACTTTCAGTACTATGCAGCTATAAACTTAAGTAAAGTTGGTTATTTTCAAAGCTTATTTAATTTTATCCGTTGTTCTTTCGAATTTGTTATTTAAAACTTCCTATTATTTGCTCTTACGAGGGAAGGACACCAACTGATAAATCGCTTTTGAGCCGTAAGGTAGTGGACAATAGGTAATCAAGTGCACTGAATCCGAATATGGCAATCGTTTCGGCCCATAGCCCTCCTGAGACCGGATTTCT